ACAGGAAAGAAACAGCTAAAAATACACCACCAACATACATGTACATCAACACAGCTAATCCTGTATTTCTATACATCCTAGTATACAGGAAAGAAACAGCTAAAAATACACCACCAACATACATGTACATCAACACAGCTAATCCTGTATTTCTATACATCCTAGTATACAGGTACTAAAGAGTTAAAAATACACCACCAACATACATGTACATCAACACAGCTAATCCTGTATTTCTATACATCCTAGTATATAGTTACTAAAGAGCTAAAAATACACCACCAACATACATATACATCATCACAGCTAATCCTGTATTTCTATACATCCTAGTAAAAATACACCACCAACATACACGTACATCAACACATCTAATCCTGTATTTCTATACATCCTAGTATACAGGTACTAAAGAGTTAAAAATACACCACCAACATACATGTACATCATCACATCTAATCCTGTATTTCTATACATCCTAGTATATAGTTACTAAAGAGTTAAAAATACACCACCAACATACCTTGAACTGATTATAGAAGCTATCTTTGTAGAATTTAAAGTTAAACCTACCACAGTAAATTAACATCTAACAGAGACTATAAAATACCTTGAACTGATTATAGAAGCTATCTTTGTAGAATTTAAAGTTAAACCTACCACAGTAAATTAACATCTAACAGAGACTATAAAATACCTTGAACTGATTATAGAAGCTATCTTTGTTACTTTCTTTCTGATATTTATTGGAACTGAATTCTTCCAGCATTTCCATTCCCACTGTCAGCTCTGAAATAGCATCATGATCCCCACCTTCCTCTTCAGTAAGGGTTTTTTCTACACCACTGCTGCTGTCATGGCTAAAGTCTGAAGCACTGTCCAACAGTTCACACGAGTTCTGCTGACTGTCTCGTGTAAGGTCGGTGACTCCACTCTCACTGTTTTCGGTGAAGGAAGAATAGAGCCCAGAATCTGCTTGATATGACATATGTTCACATTCTTTCTCCACTTTCTTGTAGCTATCAGGTGATATCACTATTTCCTGTCGAAATGTTCGGTTCTTCATTCCATTTGTTTCATTTATCTACAACAAACAAACCCAGTCAAAGTGTCTAAATTTGAGGTTTCTGACATGAAGTGTTAACAACCAAGTAACAACAATATATATATATATATATATATATATTATTAACTAACAATAACAATATAGTTCATGAAATAACACGAAAATCACACCGCATGATAAAGGCAGGTACGAAGAAAAATGTTTAACTTTTATATTTTGGTTGAATGACTTCATCATTACAGGTAACAAAGTTTTGAAACTGAAAAGCAAATTATATAGAAAAATAATTACAGAAAGACTGCTGAATAATGAAAACAAAAACAAGAATATCCAAGCAAATATCTTATCATACTGTAACAAAGGAATAAGGTAAATATCTTGGTACTGTAACAAAGGAATAAGCTAAATATCTTAGTACCATAACAATGGAATAAGCTAAATATCTTAGTACCGTAACAAAGGAATAAACTAAATATCTTAGTACTGTAACAAAGGACCAAGTTAAATCTGTTAAAGATACAGTAAAGACACAAGGCTAAATCTCTTCACAGAGTAATAAACCACTAAGAATTTCTTAAGCAACAGGCAGCTAGATTCTAACGCCCCACGAAGAGTTTCTTAATGAACAGGCAGATTGATTCTAATGCCCCACGATGAGTTTCTTTATGAACAGGCAGCTTGATTCTAATGCCCCACGAAGAGTTTCTTAATGAACAGGCAGATTGATTCTAATGCCCCACGATGAGTTTCTTTATGAACAGGCAGCTTGATTCTAATGCCCCACGAAGAGTTTCTTAAGCAACAGGC